GGGGGGTTATATAGGATGAAAGCGCGCCAATTTTTCAAACCTGACAATACAGTGACTTGCAGCTGAGGGACTTCGAGAGAGAGAATAATGGTGATGCTGTGCTTCGTGTTGGATTTACGGACATTATCGCCTCCTTTACTTCGAGATCTAAAGCAGGTAAGAAGCAATTAGCTTATGAACATTTAAGTTGATTGATGATTCTTCTCCAAACATCTGATTCAATCCGCAGAATTTCAATCTATTTAACAACAATCCGTTTAGTCGTTTTTGAAATAAGCTATCGAATCATGCAAACACGCTGTTTGCCAGTCATTACTGCAGCTAGCAAATTTCTACGCAATTTCAAGTCCTAGAGGTCATAAATCGATCTCGATTTCGAAGTCACTCCTTGATAGGATCGGGCTTTGCTATGTCTTCAGGAATCGAATATCATGTTCCACAGAGGTATGTGATTACTGGTATATTCATACAAATGTTCAGTTATTTTCGTAGGTCATTGGTGTTTGATACTGGTAAGATCGTTTTTGTTTAATTTTATTACGTGATGAATTAACACCAATGTAATAAGATGCGAAGAATGTTCAAACTGGTGCAACTCCGGGTTTTGAAAAATTTAATTTTAGGTACAAACCGATTGAATACTGAGTGAGATTTGAAATTCTAATGTTAGGTATAAACAGATTGAATACCGAGTCAGCAGTAATTATTACTTAAATTAATTGAAAGTACTAAAATATTATATGCAGAATGGACGGACTCCATCTGTTTCTAAAATCAAAATCAGAGACTGTGCTTTGACATTTTTGGTTTAATAGGCAAAACTCATTTGCTTCTTTATCAAACAGCAACTTAGTTGTTGAAGTCAAGATTTAGGTATTCTTGTATTGCAATCTGAATATCTTATGTCAGGTTTTAAGTTTGAATCTGTTAAAGTCTTGAATTGCACAAGGATGTGCTCTCAGTTTTGGGTTTTCTTCTTATAAGCGCTTTGTTCTTTGGTTCATGTTTTGTAGCAGATGAAGGTAGCATACAGGCCAAGTGGGGATTTCAGTCTCCGTGATTTTCACCATGCTGTTAACAACTTGCCAAGTGATGGTTTCTTACCAGAACTCAACAATCATGTAGCTATCTCTTGTTGTGGTAATAGGTTTTCTGTGTTATCAGAAATAGTTAGCTCTCAAGAATACTCATACTTTATTCCTTCTGTTGCTTATAGTTTCTTTTACTCATTTTCCATAAATTCATTCTCCTCCCTTGCCAGCAGATGCCCTCCTTGCAAGTGTCCTTAATGATAAAGTTCTATATTCATGGGGACGTGACTGTGAAGATGTTGGAAGAAAAGTGATCGTCATTAGTTCATGTCTACTTGAAAATTTAGATGCTGTGACAAAGAAGACTCTAATAGTGAGCTATTTTAACAACTTGTTCTTTGTAGCATTTGCTTGCTACTGGATTTCTGATGTAAACTATTTCAAATTCTTAATTCTGGATGGTGAATCACTTCCTTGTAGGATGCAGCAGACAAATGTATTTCAGTGGATTTTGTATTGTTGGTGTCAAGTGGTCTTGGTGATCTTTCAGAAAGTATCAACAACTTTCTTAAGAATATATGTGATCTTGAGAATTGTTCGTTCCATAATCATCTTCCAGGTTGTACTTTTCTTCTAGTGTACAAAATATCATCTAAGAATTTAATAGAACACTTCTTTTGAATGATATTAAACTACTAAAGCTGTGTGGCTGTGTTACATCACTAGTCATATGATGTTCATAAATGGTAAATTGAAATTACTTGGAAAGAGTATCAAATGGAAGTGAACTGTATATACTAAGTGCTTTTATAGAAACTTCTTGCAGATGCAAAGGTGTTGTGTGCCCTGGTGAAAAAATGGCTACAGGATTTGAGGGATGAAGCAGAACATCTGCAGGCTCGTGTTAAGTTTAAGAGAAATCTTCTAGGCTCTTTAAACCAAATATGCTGCAATCTTTTTCCATCTTTCGATCTCATCATTGATGAGTTCAAACCCTGCCAGGTATTATAGCTTTACATAATCCATGACTGAGAACTAACCCCACTCTCATAGCATCATAATTGAAATATTTTTAGGATGATATGAAACTCGAGTAAAAAAATGCTATATTAGCAAAGGTGTGAAAGATCTTCTGATTAGAGAAGATTGTTTTATGTAGGAGAACCAAATTTTGTAGGAGTGGGATTTGATCAAACTTTTCCAACTTGAGTTTGAGACAATCCTTTCCTGGACTAACATTTCTTAATACTTATTGGACAGCAATACAAGCCATGCCCTCACGAGACAAACTTACAACTGTACAAACATCCAATTAAAAGTTTACACTTACTCTTCTTCTCTATTCTCTCATTGTGAAAGAGAGGCTTAGAAAACACATTGATCTTTTATGTTGTTTTCCACTTTATTCTAAATAATAAATTACAAATATTAGGCATGCAGGTGTCATGGCTATCCATTGGATGATGAACATGGAAACGGACCAGTGAAGTCCACTTCTTGTCCAGTCACTGGCAATGAGCTTGGCACACTTGATTTGATCGAAAACTCTCTGAAGGTCGGGGAGCAAACAGTCCTGCTCATGCCGTCCTTTCACTACTATACAAAGTTGCAGCATGTTACTACACATATAGACTTTAACGTCATTAACAGAACCAACTTAGCTTCTTTAAGCGAAGGTAAACCTCAGACCCAATTCCTACTTGCAATCCGTGAAGAGATCTATACGATCAAAGTTCTTTAGTCATATGATCCTAATGTACTTATTCCAGCTGCAGAGAAATAACAAACACATATCTCCAAACTTCTGGTTTTATTTTTGGGTTAACTTCTGTGATTTTAAGTTGTCTGTAAGGAGTCTTGATGCTTGGGTGGGTCTAGTATTTTAGAAAACCAAGAATTTCATGTCTAAGGTCTCTGTCAGTCGGTATTAGGGGATCAAAGAAACAATTTGTTAAGAAGGTAAAAGGATCTGAATGAACCAGTTAACTTGGAATCTCCAAGTTCTATAATTTTCCACTTTCAGCTAATTGTTGTTTATAGCATGCTCTTGTTATTTACTCTGCTTTACTTGTTCGTCTTTTGTAACAGGGTTGATTGTAGGGACTCCCTTTGTTGTTGGCCCATCTACTTCCCTTGAATTGGATGATACTGACCAGATGGAGTTAAACAACCAAGGTCACCAAATGCTGCCCTTTCTGGTTCATGTTTCTCAATTTCATTTTTAACAGGATCTTAGATGATCATAAACTTTCTGCAGTTTCCAATTTCAATATGTTTACAGTTAGTACATCTGCTTGTTCCACTGTTAATTCCACAAGTTTTCCTTGGATGTGAGTTTGCAGTCTTTCAAGGGCTTTGCAGTGCCCTGCATTTTCTAGATCAGGGCCTGGTTTGCTCATCCAGATGTAACACAGAGACTATGAAGGAGACACCATTCCAGTGTTATTACATCCTTCTGCCTTCTGATAACGGAGTGATGCTGCTCAGGGTGGGTTCTCTTCCTTCTGTTAACTGTAGTCTGTTCGAAACTGGCTTTTGGTATTAATCATGCCTCATACATCCAATCTCTTTTGTTTAGAGAAGGCTAGAGACAAAGTGAGATTAGAACCCCTGACCTTGTAAGGTTTTCACCTATGGAATGGACCCAAATACCACCAAGCTAAATGCTTGATGATCTTTCTCTTTCTTTATGTCTCTTACTTTTTATGACTCCTGCAGAGGCTTGCAGGATCAGAAGAAGTGATACCTATCCCTGATGTTAGCCAATCATTCGAGTCTACAGAAGCTAAGGATGTTAGAGATTCTATAAAGTCCTCTTTACTTGAGGTTGGAGTTCTTAAATTATTAGCTCATATAGTATCAATGTCTCTCTTAGGCTTAGCAAATGCTCCATAGTTTCAATATATGATGGTCTAATGCAGCGTGGCGCATGGTATTGAAATGGCATCTAGGTGATCCAAATATAGTCTCAACAAGCAAAAAGCACGACACATGTAAACCAAAGCCAATAATGGATTGTAGGCTCTTGTTCTTGTTGTAAAAAAGCATTTTTTTTGTTATTTTGAAAGAAAGAAACAAATTCTTTTGGTAGGCAACTTATCGCATTTTAATAATCAATATATTACTCTAAATTTACCCCGAAGGTAAATGAAAGTAGTTCTTATCCTAAAATAGTAGCATAACCTTGCTGTATGTCTGAAAATTAGTTGGATTTGATTATCCTTCTCGAATACGCTTTGGCAATTGGAAATTAGAAACTAAAATGCTTTTTATCTAGCATGTACTTCTAATATGCCACAAGTCATGCCATTTTTATTCTATTATGGTGCTCAGATTGAAGAAAGGGGCTACAATCCCATCCTGCACGAACGAGGATTCCATCAAAGACTAAATGTGCTTGTGAAAGAAAGTTTGCATTTTGGGTAGATATCTTCTCTTTTAGAATCGAGTCTACTTGGATAAATTTATAAAAATGGTAACAGAATCCAGTGGATTCTGATTGCCATTTTCCTTCATTTACACACATTAGCTTGGCTTCAGTAGAATGTAATATCTAAGGATCATAACTTATCTTGGCTCTCTACGTTTCCAGGTCATTACCTACCAAATCGGAAGAGTCACCTCCTGAACCAACTTCAACTAGAGAAGATTCTTTAAATGACTCTGGACCTTCAAAGCAAACAATGAGTATGGTAGGCTTTGAAGAGGAAATCCCACAATTGGAAATGAATTTTGGACCAGACAAAATCACAGCACGTATAACAGAAGAATGGGAACAGCTAATAGTCAATGAAATTCCTAAAATCAATTCTCCCACTTGTGTTTCTAAATCAAAGTTGGATCCGCTGGCCCTCTCACCGCTTGATAGCAATAAGCCACTAGACGAAAGAACTTCAAGGATACTAGAGAGACTAGAAGTACCAAGAAAACTAAAAGCTAAAGTAGCTTCACCGGTCATCATCACCTCAAGCAGTGCCCCTATTGATGCATGCATGCTAACAAAAAAGCCTCTTATACCATTTCAGCCAACTCAAACTTCAGATACAGGAACCATTGCAAGCCAGCCAATGAGACCCAACTTTCAGAGGCTGAAAAGGAAACATAGGTAAATGTACATCACAATTGCAGATATTAGAGTGATCCCACCAGCTGAGATTCATGAGGTTGGCTCACTTCCTTCTTTTCAAGTAAGTGTTCTTCCAAATTCCTAGTATGCTTGGTTCTTACATGCACTACTTGAATGAGATCAATCTTAAGAAATGTCCCTGAAATGACATGATTTTAGTTTTGTAAACCTGAATTTAAATGATTAGAAACTGCATGTTCAGCATATCTGAATGAATATCTGTCATATTAGCAATTGGAACTGTTGGAGTCCCACATCAGCTAACATAGTCTATCTAACCTGTATATACATCGGAACCCCTCTATATGAGGACCCTTTTAGAGAGGAATCATAGATTGCACATATTCTAACATGACCTAAATTGGGTGATCCTTCTGAAAACTAGTCTAGTTTTCAAATTTGCTAAATTGAAAATACTCAAGAGTTAAGAATTTAAATTTGTAACTATTTTAGTGTTCAATTTCTAAAATTACTCAAAGAGTCAAGAATTTAATTTCCCTTGATGCTTATTAGCAATAGCTTAGATAGTTGGACAACAAGATGTAGAATCAAGCCAAAAGATATTCAGCCATGAGCCATTAATTAGAATGATTGGCGGGTATAACGTTTTCCTTTTCTTGTTTCTTGGAGTAATATGTCCGCTGATAAAATATAGGATAGTGGAATTGTGGGGGGAGTTTGGTTTGCAGGATATCAATCGAATCAGATGGCATTGCGATGGTCAATTATGTTGACCGAATTCCATTCCGATCGTTTGGTATACCATGGAATGGAAGTGAATTCAATACATTCCACCAACCGTGTATTTCATCATTCCATCGTAGGGAGGAAGGAATTAAATTCCAAACAGTTTTCTTAAGATGACAAAACTATCCTCATTAAACCAATTTTCTTAAATTATTATATTTATATTTCAAGAAAAATAAATAAAAAAACAAATTCAAAGAAAGGGTATTTTGTTCATTTTCATCATTTCATCCCAATTCCTACATTCCTTTCCGATTCTTTCCAGATTCCAATTCCCTTGACAAATTCCATTCCTTCAGAAAACATTCTGCGAACCAAATGCCCCCTTAGAAGATAGAGAGAACAACAACCATTCATCTATGGGAATTGGTTAATTATCAGATTGAACTGCAGAAGTAATGAGACTGACGAGAAAACACATCAAAGAATGGTCACTGTTTCTGGTCAAGACCCTTCATCTTATGCAACAGAGGCCTTATTGCTAGAGTAGATTCATCATGGATGTCTAAAGACTAAACTTGTACTCTTGACCCTCCAAGAGAAAAGAAAGTTAGAAAATTGTAATCGTGAGAATATGTGGAACCCATCAGATTACACTCCAAAAGACCCCTTGATGAGAGAAGGGAGGTTCCAATATATATCAAGGATAAAAGCTTCAAGTCTAGCTGCTGTAGGATTCCAACACATCCCCCTTCAATGGAGGCTAGACGGACATAAATTGTCCTAGAGTGTCAGAGGGGATATTGGGGAGAGAAGGAAGATTCCAGCATACATTGAGGAGAGAAGGGTCCAAGTCTAGCCGATGTGGGTCTCCAACATATCTCCCTCCTACGGAGGTTAAATGGGCAGAAATTGTCCCATAATGTCTGGGGGGATAGACGGGTATAGAGTGCCGAATCCTTAGAGGTGTAGACCTGGCTTTGATACCATGTGAGATTATGTGGAACCCCACTAAATTACACTGCAAAAGAGTCTTTGAACGGATAAGAGAGTTACCAACATTTATTGATGATAAATGGTCCAAGTCTAGCCAATGTAGAACTACAATACTAATATTAAAAAATTAAGAGTTAACTAAACACAGAGGTGTTGTATTGAATGTCAAGTGGCGGTATTAGACGACATGGTTGAACACGAGATTTGTTACTGTTTTTTGAGTCAAAATGCAAACAATTTAGACCATGTAATACTTGCAGAATTTTCAAAAGTGAAGCTACCTTTTTGTTTGGTGGATAATGACTGATGCATTGTTACCTAACGCATTATTCTTAATTCTTACCTATTCGTTTGTCTATAGGTTGCATTTCACATGAGAGTAGCAGTTCAATTTTTTAGAAAAAGATAGTCATGACCTTGAAGGTACTATCTCTAGGAAGGGGATGACAATATTAGTAAGAGAATTTCATCATGGTTTTAAATTCAAAAAAGGAGGAGAATATTTGTTCATGCATCTATAGGGTTGTATGGAGCATGAGATTTATTCAACAAATGTTTTAGAAGGCAAGGGGAAAGAGGGATTTGAAAAATTGAAACCATGACCTCCAAGGTTCTACATCTTAACCAAAAGGTTATTGGTCCATGGTACCTGGATTACCGGTAGAGCCCAGCCTCCCACGAAGCCAAGGGTTCAAACACCATCAAGAGAAGTGTGCATATATAAATATTATAAACTTAGAGAAAGATAATTCCACTTAGGATAGGGGTCGAATCCCATCAAACTAAATGCTTGATGACAAGTAAAAGAACTCTGTCAATTAAGAGAATTTTATTAAGGTTTTACATTTTGAAGTAGAGCCAAGTTCATTCAAATCTGAAAGGAGAATATCTTTACATATTTAGATCCCTTATAGAAGAACTCGGGGTGAATCTTTTACGAATTTACAGCCAACTCATTTACAATCTTTGAATAGGCTTGATCAATAGCCAATTCTTTCATCCAACTCCAACCTATTAAATCTCGACCAAAATTGGTTCATCCATATGGTATATAAATTATTAGACAACAAAATAGAATTTAACCAATCTTGTTCGTCGTTTGCAAGTTTACCAGCCAATCGATTTGCTGCCTTTTAGATAGACCAATATGGTAAAGATTGTTTCACCTCTTTGATCTAACCATTATGAATTTATGACCTATTAAGAAAGAAAAGGAACTCTTTATAATTGCAATAATTCTTTCCCCTCAAAAGTCAAAAGGACATTCCCACTGGAGCCCAGCTGATGATTTCCTGCCATGTGCCTGATCTAGGCCTTAAGAAATTTGGTTTAGTCTGCACGTCTACTTTGCAGATTCCTGTTGTGTCTATCTCAAATTTATACGTGTTATTTTCCTCCCACTTAATATTAACCCTGTAAAATGAGCACCCAAAGAGCATTATCATATATGTTTGACTAATCTAATGGGGATAATTATAAGTTAACGTATTCTCGTCAAAATTTTATTGATAACATATCCCTTCAGAATGAAGGTAATCAGGCACATTTGTTGGTTCTTGCATTTAATGTGTCTCATGAATGGACCAGTCAAATGACAACATGCACAATGACATTTTCAAATATATCAGAAGATAATGGATTTAATAAAAATCGTGTTAGAAGGCAAATTAACCTAGTATATTAGAAAGATAATGGATTTAATAAAAAATTTCACCCTCTCATGGACAAGGAGAAATTATATCATCATCACCTTGTGTAGGCACATACTATGTCTTGTAAATAATAGTACAAAAAACTAGCCTCTAGCGTAGTTCAGTTGGTAAATTGGTGGAACGACTTTCCCAAATACAAAACAAGTAATGGTCCGATCTAGTCCCCTGCTAGCCTTAGCCGCTGAGTGATCCAAAAAATGCCCCCTTGCATTGGTGACCTTGGGGGCAGTTTTTGCCTAAATAGTACAAAAAAACTAAGCACTTGAAAATTCCTGTTAATAAAAACGGCATTTAGTGGCAACGATATTCATTATTACTGGATTTCAAAATTCAAAGAAATATTTACATCTTGATTCAATAATTAGGAAACTAGTTGGTATTTCTTTTATTTCCCGCCACCCACGACCTAATACATCATACACATTTCTTAACAACAAAAAATTAAATTTAAAGAAACAATATCTACTTAATTTGCCAACCCAACCACCATGATGAAAGGATGACACCATGCCATTACTGTAGCATCTTTCTTTGTTTAATCCTCCAAAGGGCTTGATGGTGGATTTTTCCTCCTTTTTTATGAATTTTATCCCACTACCTTTGCTGGCAGCCACAACAATCATGGGTGTCGCTATACTCATTCCATTATCCTTTTACAGCTCTCATACTATATTAAAAATATGAAGAAAAAAAAAAAATACAAAACTAAACATTATCTTAGACTTTAGCGGCTCTGATTTTCAAATCTCTGTACAGAGGAGAGAGGGTGGAGGGGTAGGATTTTATGATTCTAGAAGGGTTTGTTTATTGAGGTCTTTGGATGGGCAAAAAGGAAAGCGTTCTCAGAAGTTCTCTTTGTGAAAGTCAAATTTGGTTGACGTCTTGTGTGAGAAATCGGAGGCTAGTTGTTTCAGCTCTTTTGTTGGTGCTGGTGCTCCACAATAGAATACACCTGCAGATTTTCATTCAGACTAACGTTAGGAAACATCTCACATGACATATGATGCAATCGTAACAACTTGTTTTTCCATTATTAATAATATTATAATCTATTCTGACACAGCATTCTATTGTAGGAAGATAAGACTGATAACAATATTTAAAGGGTATTATTTGTAAAAATGACATACTTTCCTTTTTCTTTCTATCCGGTTCAAGAACATGAAAAATTGTTCCACTTCTATTCATTTTCTTGCCTTCCCTTCCAAGAACACTAAATAAAAAACTTGCTTTCTTTTCTTCCCAAATTCGAAACACACTGTTAATATCATCATTTACTCGCCACTGGGTTTAACATCCAGTTTTTTCACCCATGTCAGCATCTTTGTGACGCGAGGAAAACAATGCAAGTAATCCATGGATAAAACTGTCTATGTGGATTAATCTATTTGTATAGTCTGAGAAGGTTAGATGGAAGAGCATGTTCTTTAATTGGGACGGGCAGATTTGGAAGAAAACTTGGCTTTCTCCATAAAGCTTCCCTAGAGGGTTCAGCTTCCCTAGACTGAGAAAGTAATCCCTAGAAGCTTGCTAAATAAGCCACTTTCTATATCATTAAGTCACTATCAAACAGTCATCTATAGCTGACCGAATAAGCTGTGAGTCCCATTAAACTCATTAAGCTGTTTACATGCCCTTAGCCTTTCTTTGATAAACAACATCAACGAGTCAAATGAACACTTGCAGGAATAAAATAACATCATTATGCTACTACATTTGGAACCTTCTGTTGTTGTATCCCTACCTTTTTTGGCGTGATGCACATTTCTTTATTGATGTTAATAAAATTAAAGACCAGGTGACCAGCCACTATAACGGCTGTATTTTAGCTTTTTAAGGTCCAGGAAACATCATGTTCTTAATTTCTGAACTTTGGAGCTATTTTAATAAACTAATCTCCAACTACAATGACATAAGATAAAACTATTCCTGGTTATAGGATACCCTTTTTAGGCATGATTACTTTATATGATCCCATAAGAATTTGTCCTATTAAAATCTAATATGAAAAGGACTGCGGTTCAGGAACTATAACGCGTTATTTGGTTTAACTAGGTGCCAGTTATTCAAAGGCCACCTGTAGTGAGTATTGACAAAGAAAGTATAGACTTTGTATTTAGTAGTCAATACAGAAATAGTTTCTAATTTGGATTGTTTTTTTCTTTCTTGATGAAGCAAAAAACACATGTTTTAGGCCACCACTCGTACAAGTCATTTTTTGACTTAAATTTTTACTGATAGGTCTCTATAAAGTGACTTAGAAATGTTCTCTCCTTTCAAAGTTGATGAGCATCTATTTTGTAACTTGGAAAAGGGAAGGGAAAGCTAAGTTGGGTGCGAGGTACTAAACCTTAATAGGAATATCTAAGTTGGAGAAAATTCAAAATGAGAACTATAAATATTTTGAGGATTTGAGAATCAACTATTTCATGTATAATTCATGGTGAATAACCCTGAATAAATCATGATTTATTCATCATGGATAAAACATGAATAGTTGATTCCCAGATTCTCAAAATATTTGAGTTCTCATTTGAACCTGCCCCTATTTAAGTTTAAATTCTAAAGAAACAATGAGAATGATTTAGTAGAGGGACTCACCTATTCTAGAGCCCGTGTGATTAAGAGCAATGCGTTTGTAGACGTTGCGCCAGTTGGGTTTGGCAAAGTGCGACTTAACACGAGTACCCGAGACAACATCAACCCCATTTTTCGCATGATTAAGTGACTGAAGCATCGTGATTAGGGCAGACCGAGCGTCACCTTCCTCATAAACACTTGTGCAATAGTTGTGCATCTCTATGACCCCATTTTTGTCCATTTCTGCAGCCTCATCCATAACACCTTTAAACCAGTCAAAAGAACCCTGTTCCCTAGTGACCCAATAGAAGTAAGCTCTTGTTGTTCTAAAGTTATTCGCGCTTGGTGGTCCTGATTTATTCTTTTGCACCGTGCTGCCATTTTCCAAGGCATTATCTTCCTCTTGTTTGGCCTTCATGTTATTGACAATGTCTTTCACAATGCTGATCATAGGGGTTGCTCCAATTCCTAACCCCACTAGCAACACCACGTCGTATTTCTTGTAGTCTTGTGCTGGTGCTCCATATGGACCGTCGATTAAAACTCTTGGAAAACTGTCCAAAAAATTGATCAACGAATTTAGAGATACAAATCTAAGTTCTAAAACATTTTCCTGTAAACCTCCGGTGCTTTTTCGGGGTCCTTTGGTTAAATAACCTTTTAATAGCTTTTTCTTTTACATCGATGACCTTTTAACAGGTTTGAGAATGTCACTGTTTAACAGAAGAATGTCACTACTTAACAGAAGAATGTCACTTCTATACAATAGAATGCCTAGAAATCTGTCAGGTCATTTAGCTAGATAACACTACATTTTTTTAGCTATTCTTTCTTAATGTTCTGGGTAAGAAGATTTAGGTGAAATACCATTAAATAATAACATGAAAAATGTTGCCAGATGTTTGTAAATTAGGTAAGGAATAATATTTTTTTTGTTGAAGAAGATTAGGTTTCATATCTACCTGTCTAAACCTAAGTGAAAAAAGTCCAAAACTCATACATCTGTTTGTTGCCAACTTTTTCTAATTTGTTAGATGTCTCTATTTGCATGATGTAGACAAATTAAGGCTTGGGGTGGAATAGGAAAGGCGTTACATAATTGCGTTTTTTACAGCTAAACCTTTTAGATTCTATATTAAACTTATCAATCATTTCTAACGCGTGCTTTGTTTGTGCCCACAATATATTCCATCGAAAAAGTAGGGACTAATGAATAAAACGATACTTTTTTGTCCTGTTTTGTTGTATTTGGAAACTTACAGATACTCGATGTCCCGATGGCTGGTTTAATATTAATATAATAGGCAAATCTGGGAACAATTTAACTCTTACTTTGGGTTTTCTCCTTGGCAATCAGCTCTTAGGAGTCCACTTTTTCCATTACGCGGAGGCTGACATACCTACCAAAGACCAAAACACACGTGAGGTCATAATAGAGAAATACACACATCATTAAGGGGCCTAAATTACCAACTTGAAGTCTTGAAATACAATCAGTTAGGGCCTGTTTATTAGCAGCTTAATGAGCTTGATGGGACTCACAACTTATTCGGTCACATATTAATGAGTGTTTGGTAGTGGCTTAATGATATAGAAAGTGACTTGTTCAGTAAGTTTCTAGCGGAAGCTTTATGGAGGAAGCCAAGTTTTTTCCAAACCTGCCTCACCCAATTAGAAAACATGCTACTTCCATCTATGAAAAAACTCTTTGAAACAAAAAATTTCTCACTTTATACAGACGGACTAATCCACACAGACAATTTTATCCATATCGAACTTAATGAAAAACCGAACAAACATGCCCTTAGTTGTTTTGTTTTGTAAAAGGTGTTGAATTCTGAAGTCTTATTTCATTTCTGATTGATAAGAAGTAGTGATGAAGTAAGAAAATGGAGCAATAAGACTGTTTGTTTTTGTAAACTGATCACATCGATTAGACTTGGACCATTTCTCTTGTATATATGTTGCAACCTCCCCCTCTCCTCAAGGACTCTCTCGGAGAGTGATTCGAGGGTTCCAGAGATAATCATTTATCACAGTCTGAATGTGTGCAATTGTCTAGTTTATCCCTCCGGAAAAAAATAACACCAAGTAACATGATGATTACCTCTGAAAAGACTGTTTTTAGTTGCCGAGTCCAATCACCGAGAGTTCGGATATGCACACTTAGGTAGTCATCACCAGGGGCAGAAGTGATGGAAAATGGGTGCCTGTAGATATTTGTTGATCATTAAGTTATAGTTCATTATGCCTTTTTTCATTTAGGTCATTTCCCATAATCAATGGATTAATTAGTGTGAATTTGAAGGTCAAACTCACCATTCAAATGGGGAGACAGCAGCACAGTTGACAAACATGTATTGCCCACTCTTGTATTTGAAGCCTTGAGGTTTTGACATATGAAGTGCCAACACATTTCCAGGATAAACAGCCACCTTTTTAAGACACCAAAATATCATTTCGTGAACAAACGAAGGACAAAATACGAAAATTAACCAAATTTAAGATATGATTATACCTTAAGTATTTTGACTGGCTTGACACTAGATCTGAACGCCCGTATTAATCTCTCACACGCATAGAGCAAGACCGGAACTGTTAAATACATCCACGTCTGCAAATTTGGATAGAAAACTAGATTTATAAGCTTCTTATAAGTTCAAAGTTGTAGGCTCCATTTTAGAGAATCAAAAGTCAAAATCTCCAAAGAAATTTTATATTCATCTCCAACAGCCTCCTCATTTTGGAGATTACAATATGAATTATATTATTAAAATATTCAATACCTTTCATAAAATATATTTCTCTCTCCTATGCATTTAATTTGAACAATTCTCATTGGTACGAAGAATAGAAAATAATTTTTCTTTCATAGGTAATCATATTTGGAGCGTTCTCCAAATTTAGAGAATTTCACCCTCTCTCCTGCTTTCTCCATTTTAGGGAATCTATTAGAACAAAAATCCCCAAAATCTCTATTTTGGATAATCTATTGGAGATGCTCTAGCTTATACCATGATGTTAAGTTGATTTGGAGGTTATTGGGTCAGACTCGTTTCTTGGGCTATGTATAAATGTATCTATATAGAATAAAATGAGAAAATATAGAGGAACTAACCGTCTTCTTGTACCATTCCTTGGTGAGGTAAAGTTTGATACCGTGAACTATGAGCATCGCGTAGACGATAACAAAAAGATGGTGGGAATACCAGAAGGCATTAAATCCAGTGAGTTTCTTTAGGAATGACGGTAGGTTGAGCTTGCCTCGTCTTAGCCATGGGGTTGCGAGTGTAAAAGCGATCGTCATTAGGACTACCATTATAATTCCTGTCCACCCTTCCACTTCCTTCACGAAATGCCAGTAATTCTTGGCTTGATCCCCGAAGAACTGCTGCATCGGCTCGTACTCTTCCTCGGTTGCGTGAATTAGTCGAGGAAAGTCGCATGTTAAATGGGAAATGGCATGTAACCCAACTCCAATAGAAATTGCTACTGCAATCACCTAGAACAATATAGTACCCAAAAGAGTTCAGTAAAGAAACTTTCTGAATTTAAGCCATGTTCGATAACCATAAGCTAACTTATTTTTTAAACTTATTAAAAATACTTGCTTGGTTATCTATAAGGTAGAAAGTAGCATTTCAATAACCTACAAGGGGTGTTTTTCACTTTTTTCCAATTATGCCCTTTATATGTTTCCAAATAATCTTTCAATATAATGCCCTTTTAGCTAGCATCTAGTTTGTCAGCTAGTTTTTACCAAACATGACTACTATCAACCAACAACTAGTTTACCAGCCAATAGCAAGCTTATCAACCAACAACTAGTTTACCAGCCAATAGCAAGCTTATCAACCAACAACTAGTTTTTCAGTCAACAACTAGTTTACCAGCCAACAACAAGCTTATCAACCAACAACTAGTTTATCAATTAACACATGGCTTATCGGCCAACAACTAGTTTTTCAACTAATAGCAAGCTTATCAAACCAACAACTAGTTTTCCAGCTAATAGCAAGCTTATCAACCAACAACTAGTTTTTTCAAATGACGTCTAGCTTATCTGCTAGTTTGAGAAATATAGCCTCAAGACACTATTCGAATGTGAGAATGTTAGACTTACTTTGTGGAAGTTGAGGTTGTCATCAAATGGAACCGCGACACTCAACCTGGTCTTGTTCCTCAGCCAGGTGATGGTGTTCCGACAAACGGGCAACAAAATTATAGCCATGTTTAACTTGAGAGTCTCTGCTGCTCCTTTCGCTATACATACACACGGCCCCAATACTTCGTACACAGCTCGATTTTTGTACTGAATATACTTCCAAGTAAACAAACCAGCCATGATCCCTATCCAAAGTACAATCACCCAACATCTCTGCCAATTATCCTGCAAGAAATACTTGAAATCTTCATACCATCTCTGGATGGGATTCCCGTGTTGCGTAGTTTTCAGCTTTTGACTCAACATTTGGCTCAGGTTTCGGCTTTCTCCTCTCACGTTATGTGTCGGAGCTTGTAACAAAAGCATCTCCAAGTTTTCAATCTGTTTATTCATTATGAATTGTTATGATCTTAATCATTATTCACAATTATTCATAATTATTCACAAAAACACCTTTTTTCCTACCAAACTATTTGTAATGTAGTTGGTATATATAATCATACCATGATGTACCCAAGGTTGTCGGGGTCTAATTCTTCCATGATTAATGCTGCGTATTCATCTGCTTGTTTCTGAATATTTGATAACTTATTGGCTGAAGCACTCAGACTTATAATCTGCATCACATGGGCATCAATTATTAAGACACAATATTCTAATCTACCACTAACTACCCTTTAACTTCTTGTCTATCATACCAAAAGCTTTTATTTTTTATTTTATTGTATAATTTTGGACAATTAAAATTAAATACCTCTCTGACTTCGTCTTCTGTGATCCTACCATCTGCATCTTTATCAACCCTGCATTTATATCTCCAAATATAAAACCTCCTCCCAACAGAAACAGAATAACGAATAAAAAGCAATATCGTGAGAATATATGAAACTTCATTAGATTGCTCTCGGTAACTCTCTTAGAAAGGAGGTTCGAGAAATGGTCCAAAGTCTAGTCGACGTGGGACTTTGTTAGCAGCTTAACGGGCCTAATGGAACTCACAGCGTATTCGGTGAGGTACACACGACTATTTGGAAGTGGCTTAATGATATAGAAAATGACTTATTCAGTAAGCTTTTAGGGTAGTTTTATGCCGGAAACCAACTTTTTTTTTTCAAAACATCCCCACCCAGTTAAAAGAAATGATCCTTTCATCTATGAAAAATCCTTAGTAAACAAAACCTTCCCGGTCTATACAGAATAATCTGCAACGTAACCTTTATTGATAAAGTCCCCTAAAATGCCTCTCCGAAGGAGTCCAGGCGGGTACATAATGTCCTCGGGCTTCGTTAGAGGCATATAAATTGCCGGAGAGTATCGACTCCGGCAGAATCCGATACCATGCCGAAACACATAGAACCATAACAAACCGAGGTTCCAACATATATCGAGAATAAAACGTCCAAAAACAAGATTAAAAACAAATAAAATCCTCACATGTCAAAGAAAGTCTGTAGCCTTGAATCAAAACTCTGATCAGCAATTTGGTCCCAAAACTCCCTCAATTGTGCTTTGTTAATCGAGTCACCTGTTATATTCCTCCTCCGTGAAAGTGCATCAAACAACTCTCCGGCGAACTCTTTGGATTCTTTGTTCATCCCTACCAAATTAAAAAATAAATAAATAAATAATAAAAAAACCAAAATTATTTACAAAATGAAGAACAACAAGCTGGATTTACCAATGCATTCCCCAAAAAGTGAACGTGGAAGTAACCCATTGGTGGTGGCAGTGAGATCACCAAACCGCTTCTCCAGCGCGGCCCACGCCGCGCCGCCGTCCGTCTTACTGATAAACTTCAGCCCTTTGAGCGCATGAGCTGCGGCGGACTTAGTCCGGTCTAAACGACTCGCCGGTTGTCGTTTCGAGAACGACGTCAACCGCTTCAACTCCTCCGACACCTGCCGGATTCTCGCCGAAGCATTTCGCACCACCGACGAACCAAACGACGACCTCTTCTCCAATCCTTTCGCCAGCAACGTCAGCTCCGGATCCTCCACGTCAGCTCCGCCGGCGGTCTTGACGCTGTGTACGGCCACCGAGTCGTCACGGACGTCCAAAGTGATTTCAACGTAATCGTCATTGTTATTAGACTTCACACTGCCGCTACTACTCCCCGGAGCTCCGTCGGGAATATTAAATCTAGCACTTTTCCGGTTACCTCTTTTGTTCAACGGTCCGCTTAACGGACCACTGAACGCCGCCCTGTCAACGCCGATCACCTCCGTGTCGGAGTGGTAATGATCATGGCGGTTGTAATTCTCCGGCAACCCACTTCTGCCATCATCAGTTCCCATATTTTGCATTTGCATCCAAATCTAATTAACCAATTATAGAAATGAAATCAAAAAAGGGAAGTGGGTAGGGTGGATGTTAATAAGAAGAAGAAAAATGTGAACAAGAATGGTGGAGTTGTAAAATGTTGAGGAAACGAAGGATGAGAGGCCTCCCACTTATATGCATAAAGCGTGTGTGACATGGAGAGAGGAATAAAAGAAGTCAACGAATGGGTTTTATGACCAGCTCCTGATCTTATTTCATATGAACACCTTTACAAATATAACCGTATTTCTTTTGTCCACTCATTTATTATTAATTTTTTTATTAAGTTGGATATCCAACCCGTTATACGAGCCGATTAATTCTAGGACGATCACCTATTTTACAGATGGTTCGAAGTTACCGTATTTGAACCTCCATGGTCACAAGGGGATTTTTATTCCTCCTTGGATTTTTATTACTTTAATGATGGTTATTCGAGTCAGTTTGAATGTAATTCAACTAATTTTAAAAGATTTTGAAGAACGGCTAATATTTTTTAAGGGTGTGTTTGGTGTCCAGACATGACAGAATAGAACAGTTGTTCAACATTTGGTAAGATAAAACTGGACAGACTAAAACAAGTAAAATAACTAGTTACTCCTAATGAGTTGTTTATTTTAATTTAGTTTATGTAATTTATTATATAGTAGAATGATTATTTTTTTTATAACAAAATATATCATTATAAAGTTTTCGTCAAAACAATTAAAATTACACTGAATAAAAAGTTTATGTAGTTTACAATTTTTATTTTTATCTATTTTCTACATTATGTTTTATTATTAATATATTATAAACTACATAATTAATAAAAATATAGAAACCGTACAAAAATAATATTTTGAGAATGGTAAAATGAAAGTTTAAAAAACATAAAATACAATAAGTAAAATTTAAAGAAAAAATAGAATGTAAAAAGAAGACCTATTTGATGTTTTAGAAGAAAATTAAGTTTTATTTTGAGATTATATTGGTAAAATATAAGTTTGTTTTACCTTGTTCCACCATGTTCTATGGGGTAGGGGTGGAATAGGCATGTTCCATTTTATTCCTGTCTGTACCACATAAAAGTCATGTCAAACATGAGATATGGATCTCTATCCTGTCTTGTGTACCAAACGTACCCTAATGGTTTTAGAGGACTTAAATTAGTGACCTCTGAGAGCATTTCAACAGATTCTCTCAAATGCAGAATCTGAACATCTCAAACAGGTTCTCTATAAAATTTTAAATTAAAGAATCAAAAATTAAAATATCTTAAAAAAAATTACATTGAACTCCAACAAATTCTCTATTTTAAAGATTTTAACATAAATTATATTATTAATATAATATTCTTTACTTTATCATTCCGGTACACCTAAATTTTTTTATGTGAAATAGTAATAATTAATCTCATTAATGAAATTGAATAAAATAATTATTTCTTTCTTTTAGCATCAAATTTTAAAAAATTGTCTCTTTGTCATAGCATTCATTTTTAGGAAGCTCTCCAAGTTTAAAGATTTTCACAACCTGTCTCCTACTTTCTTCATTTTAGAAAAAGTGTTAGGTATCAGTCGGAGCAAAAAATTGCTCAAAATCCTTATTTTCTCTATTTTAAATAATTTTTTTAAAGTTTTAAAGTCTTATTGTCAGTTGAATTAATCCTATACTATAGAATTATCCATTCAGTATTTTATGTATTACTATTATTTTCAAATAAATCCAAATTGTTATTTATTATTATTATTATATAAAACGCTAAAACCAGGGATGAAATGAGCCTATTTTCAGAATCGGCAGTTCGAGGTTTGAAGAAGCCGCCTTCATTTTGCCTTTTTAAAATTATGGGATACATCGTAGTATATGTAAATAGTAGCATCTCACCTAATATATACCCTCATGAATATTTAATATTTGATATTTAAAAATACAATTTTGGAAAATAAAATTGGTGTTGGAATCGTTGAGTTACTTCAATTGACAAATAAATAAACGGTAGGTTTCAAGACTTATTTTTATGGGTTATCAGTTCGAATCTATTTAACATTACTAAACATCCTTTTTCGTCTTTAACTTGCTATTTTTAAGACTCGTAAAGATAGTCGAGATGTTGCCGATCTGATTTCTTACCGAAAAATTAGGAATTTAATGAATGTCATTTGTTTTGTTATAACTAGAAAGGTACTCGCGCAAATCGCAATACAGTGAGATATATCTCGATTTCAATGTTTCATTTTTATTTTTATTTTGTCTTTGTCAATGTTATAATACGAATTTATGTGGTTTTGAGCAAACGCTAATGTTTTTCTTAATAAAATATAAATTTGAAGATATCATTTAAAAAGTTTCTATTTTTTGTTATAATTTAATTAGGTTTAATGATGAAGTAATTTGTTTTTGGTTTAATCATATAATTTTTATAAAGATAACAACGAAGCATTTTGTTAGAATTCAACAATTATTCTAATTATATTTTAGATATATTTAAAATGAGAATTTATTAATATTTGATTATATTTATCTACAGTTAGTTACACGAACTCAAATATGAAGCTTAATAAGTTGTACTTATGCACAATTTACTTGTAATCTTGAATTTTAAATAATATGTATTAATAAACAGTACTTTATGCATAAAAAAATGTTTTTAAGAGTTTCTATCAAATGCTTTATAATATAGTATAGATATAGATGATATCACAAGGGTGGTGCATGACTGATTTGAGTTTGGGCTCTAAAGATCAAAAGTGTCTGGAGTTTCCAGGTTCAAATCCAAATAGAAATAAAAATTCTCTTGTGGCCACGGAGGTTCAAATATGGTGACTCTGGGGTTCGGACTATTTGCAAAATAGATAGTTGTCTTGGAATTAGTCGGCCCATATAACGAGTTAGATATTCAGGTTAATAAAAAAAAGAGTAGATAATCATAGCTTCAATCAATGTTGTAATTTTAATGTACACATTAAATAAAAAAAATTGTTGTAACGGTTCTTTTTTTTAGTAATTGATGTTTGGGTCAACTGGATTGTTTATATTGAACTTGTAAAATTAATAATTAGGTAAACCCTTCGGTATATTATTGATAAGACTTGAACTTATAAATTATGTGATGTAAATTTAAATATCGGTTGAACCATTTTTTTAATCAAAATTATTTAGATAAGCATGAAAAAGTAACGTACTTTAACTTGAATCATATTTTGGATAATGTTCAGAACTTTCATTTGGGTAATTAAGATGTATAGTTTTAAACGTTTAAGTATCTGGGTAACTGGTTGAAGCATTAATCGGTTACCATGTTGATGTTGCGAGTGATGTGGTATCCAACTTAGTATCATTTGTTATTCAACCCAATTCCATCCCATCACTCGTCACATCAGCATGGTTTCAACCAGTTACTCTGGTACTTAAATGTTTAAAACATTACATCTTATGTACGAAAATGAAAGTTTTGAAAGTACGTTACCCAAAATATGAATCAAGTTAAAATACGTTATTTTTTCATGTAATTTGCCTTAATTTTAATGTACACATTAGATTAAAAATATATAATAACAGTACTTTTTTTTTTAGCAATTGATGTTCGGGTCAACATACATGCATCTCGATTGTTTATATTGAATTTTATTTAAACCCTTCAGTATATTATTGATAAGACTTTGAACTTATAAATTCTGTGATGTAAATTTAAATATAAATTAAACCATTTTTAATGATTAAAATTGTTTAGATAAAAGTAGTTTTTTTAATTCTCAAATAGTTTATTAGTACTATAAAGGTAGTCATGCAATGTAGCAAGATACATCTTTATTTTAATGTTTTGTTTTATTTTTTGTCTCTGTTGAAATAGTACATTTATGTGGTTTGATAAAGATAATGTTTTTACTTTTGAATAAAATATATTTGAAAAATATATTTTATATTAATATCAAATTAACTATTTAAAATTTCTCGTTTTTATATAATTTATTTAATTCAATTGTTTATTATAATTTAATTTATGTGTAATAGTGAAGTAATTTATTTTTGGCTTAACAATATAATTTTTATAAGGATAACGATTATGTTAGAACTCAATAATTATATTAATTTTATTTTAAAAACATTATACTTACAATAAGATGTTTATCGTGTATTTGATTATGTTTATCTGCAGTTAGTTATATGAATTCAAATGAAGCCTTAATAAGTTGTACTTACGCATAATTTACTTGTAATTTTGAATTTTAAGTAATATGCATTAATAAAAGTACTTCATGTATAAAAAATGATTTTTAAGAGTTTTTGTCAAATGTTTTATAATATAGTATAGATTGTTTAATCTTCAAATAGTTTATTAATATTGTTTAATTATCAAATGGTTTATTAAATGTTTAAAACTTAACATCAGATGGTAAATCGGATAATAATTCAACCAGTTCATCAAGTACTTAAATGTTTAAAATTTTACATCTTATGTACCAAAATGAAAGTTTTAAAAGTACGTTACCAGAAATAAAAATCATATTAAAGTACATAGTTTTTTCATGCAATTTGTCCTTCGAAATAAGACAATATAATATGATGTTTATTGGTATGTATTTGTTAAGATGGACATAACGTTGCTATCCATAAGGAATTCATGTCTTAAAGCCTAAGGATGATATGCTACATCACTTGTTTGCAACATCATGCAAATACTTTATTTATTTTATTAACTTGGATATTCAACCTGTTATGCGAGCCGATTAATTCTAGGACGATTACCTATTTTGCAAGTAGCTCGGAGTCACTACATTTGAACATTTGTGAACATAAGGAGATTTTTGTTCTTTCTTGGATTTGAACATGGGACCTCCAGACACTTTTAACATTTGGAGTCCAAGCTTAAATCAATCATGCACCACTCTTGTGATTACAAATGCTTTATTTATATCAAGAATAACTTAATTCACAACAGAATTTATAATATACTGACTTAAACTGTTATAAATAGACCTTCTAATGCAACACGACATGAAAGCAT